CCCCCAAGACTTAGCTGGCCTCCCTGTCCTCAGCTGTAACTGGGGTGAAGCCCACAAGGAGCTTCGGCGCCTTCAGAGGTCCCTGATCCCGGCTGCAGAATGGCAGCCACGTCTGTCTCCCTCCCTCTCCATCCAGGAGTCCTAGATGCTTTAGTGCAGTGGTCCCCCCAACGTTGGGCCTCCAGATGTTCTTGGACTTCAACTCCCAGAACTCTTGGCCAGCAGAGATGGTGGTGAAGCCTTCTGGGAGCTGAAGTCCAAGAACATCTGGAGGCCCAAGGTTGGGGACCACTGCTTTAGTGGAATGGTGTGGATGAAAAACATTTTGCCACTGGAAACCAGGCAAGCCGGAAGAGAGCCATTCCTTCCAAGAGAAACACAGAGGGCCCCCCCACCCCCTCAGGCGGGGCTCTCCCTTTGGAATCTGGGGGGTGGGCCCCCCACACCACACCTGCCCTGCACAGGGGGGGGTGCCAGGGGGGGGGGGTGCCCTCACCTTCAGCCCCAAGGATCTGGGGGGGGAGAGAGAGCAGCAAGAGGCCTCCGTGCCACTACGGGCGGCAACAGACTTCATGCCAATCTCACCGGATGCCTTTGGGAGAACCAGGATTTCCTGAAAAGGGCCCCAAGAGCAGATGGAGCCGGCTCGGCTGGAGCACCTGAAAAGCAGGCTGGGCGGTGGGTGCCTTTTCCTGAAGGACTGCCTTTCTGTGTGCAAATGCTTTGCTTCTCTGTAGGAAAAGATGCAAGACGTGCTTTGAACAAACCGCAGGGGCTATGGGGGAGGGGAGCAAGATCTGCTTCTAGTCAGAGGTCCTCAGGCAGCCTTAAAATCTTGCCTGGAGGTACTTGGATGAAGCAGCCAAACTCAACGGGAGGGAGGCATCGATCCAGGTGTGCCCCTCAGCTTTTGCCTAAAACCTGTGCAGTGTCTCCAACCTTGGAAAGAGGCCATCGGGGCACGCACCGGACGTGCGCTTGGCAAGGCCCTATCTGCCAGCCCTGGGGCGGGTGTCCTGAGGAAGGCTGATTCCCACAAGCATCTCACCCCAACCATGGTTGTTGCGAACATGACACCTCCTACAGTGACTTTTCCTCCTTGGATGCACGGCTGCCCCCCCACCCCACAAGACCAATTCCAGTACTGGGGTGCTGGTGGTCTGCTTTGGGAAAGAAGGATGATGATTTCTTCAGGACTCAGTGCCCATGGGATGCGGCGTTGGGTGCCCTTCTGCTGCTGAGGTCTAGAGTAAGACGGTATGAAGATGACAGAAGCCTTGGATCTTGCGGGCCATACATGGAGCGGAAATGCCATGGTTTAGGAATGTGGGCGGTCAAGGAAGTGAGAAAGAAAACCCCCCAAATGAAAGCCAAGGCCCTCCCAAGCCCCCTGAATTAGATGATGGGATGGTAGGAACGCAAGAGGAGCCTTGAAACGGTCCTGCCCACCCGCCTACGAGAGAAGGCCACGGAGAGGACATCGCCTGGAGCGCGCCTTTCCGTCCGATCTTCCCCCCAAGTGATGTTTGAGAGTGTGGACTCTACCCACAGGCACCCAAAGAGAAATCTTGGGAGGGTGTAGGGGAAAATGGGTATTTTTAGCATTCTCGTTGGTGTGTTCATAGCTCTCAGCCCTGCTTGTTGTTGCTTAGCACCCATAAAATCTTGCTTCCAGAGAGCAATCCTAACCAAATCTACTTGGAAGTCTCATGCTGTTTATTGCAAGACACGGAGTGCTTCCAGACAAAGCGAATACCATAAAGTTACTGTACACCCCATTAACAAACTGTTGTGGGCTATCTAGAGGCTGTCTTTTACAATGCCCTTGTGTTCTTACACAATTTCTTCGCTTTTCTTGCTGAGGAGAAGGCTTTACATTTAAGCTGGGCCACATTGTCTTTTAGTTGGTAGAAGCAGCTTGTCTGGAAGCATCCTCAAACATGGGAATGTTTCAAAAATCATCTCTAATCCTTTGCCTGGATTTTAGACCAAACTCAGCTGACGGAGCAAGAGAAATCACAAGAAAATGAAAGTCACCCAATCCAGAGGAATTCTTGACTCCACAGTAATATATTTGAACGTACGGGTACATGCTTCAAAAACCAAGGTGGAAGCATCCTCAAACATGGGAATGTTTCAAAAATCATCTCTGGTCCTTTGCCTGGGTTTTAGACCAAACTCAGCTGACGGAGCAAGAGAAATCACAAGAAAATGAAAGTCACCCAATCCAGAGGAATTCTTGACTCCACAGTAATATATTTGAACGTACATGCTTCAAAAACCAAGGCTGCATCCACAGAAATGCTTTACGTTGGCTTTGGCAAAATACTGCAAGTGTGAAAAGTATCTCAGCTACAGAAACGGCAGCTGTCGTAACCCCTGCTTGAACCAAATGCAAAACCTCTCAATCACTCCATCTTTCTTTCGGTCTTATGCAATTTGGCATCTCATGCCTGAGATGACCAAGGATGAAATTGGTGCACCATAAGAATGGACAGTCTCCTCTCCTCATCTAGAGAGAAATGGTCTGTTCTGTTAACGACAGAGGAAAGGATCTCAAAAGAACAGCCCTGCCCTCTCTCGTGTGTGTGTGTGTGTGTGTGTGTGTGTGTGTGTAAGAGTCCAAGCTTTCCCTTTGTTATGTACAAGCCCTTTGCCCAAATGCAGCATTCATAGAGAAGACCAACACACCGAATCCTAGACAAGGGTGCAGAAGTTTACAGCCACAGAGTCACAGTCTTGTAAAGTTTAAGACAGCCTGCTGGGCTCCCTCATTCCCCAAAGACCGAGGTTGCAAGCCCACTTATTTTGGAGTAAGTCCTGTTAGTTTCCCACAAGAAACAGCACAATACAAATCCAACTACTGGACACAAACAAAGCATTGACATGGTTGACACACACACCCAAGTCCCAAATCTCTGCTAGGCCAACCGAAGAGGGACACGACCAAGAAGGCAGGCTTTCAAAATCACAGTTTCTTCACCAGACAGGGCTGTCCTCCCTTGAGCACATCATGAGAAGGTAAGAATCTCTGGAAAAGGCAATAATGCTAGGAAAAAGTGAAGGCAGCAGGAAAAGAGGAAGACCCAATACAGACCCTCAAGGATACCATGATTTTTTTTGAGTTTGCAAGGGTTGAGTAGGGCTATTGAGGCCATGACCTTTTGGAGTCAGTCATTCATAATGTTGCCGTGAGTCGGAGGTGACTTGACACCACATAAGAACAAACCTTCTATCCACTTATATCTAAAATCTTGCTGATGAAGAGACCTGTGATACCCAAAGTTTGCACACCTTTTGTGACTTCTTAGGTTGGCCTAATACAGCTATCCCTTCCAATATGGATATTGGAATTATTATACAGTGGGATTCTCTGCAAACCCTCTACAGAGACCTGGTTGTCAATCTGGAATACTCTGTGGCACGGAAGAGCTTTTTGGTCCACTATTGCTGGGTGTGCATGTGAGTGACTGTGTCGCAAAAAAGGATTACTGCTCACATTCCTGTCCTGGATGCTCCCTGAAGAAAATGTCCTGTGGGTCAACAGGAAGGGCCTTTTCGATAGCAGGAGAGCATCATCACCACCACTGCCACTGCTGCATTAAAACAGAAAGGAAAGGATAGGCGGAGGGGAAAACAATTCCAGGAAAAACAACCTTCCAGTTCTGGACTCCGGCTTCAAAACCAAGGGGTGTGTGTGTGTTAAGCATCAGCAGTAATAGTCACGGTGACTTTTCCCATCTTACCTGGACCCAGAAACACAATAAAGATAAAGGTTCCACATTTGGGGGGGCGGGGCTGCCTTCCGCCCCAGTTGGAAACATCCCCCATTCAGCCGTAAGGGCGCTAAAACGGGTAGTTAAAAAAATACCAGCAGGATTTTAACAACAGCCTTCAGGATCTCTCTTTCCCACTTCCCCCCCCCTTTTAAAAAATAAAGCATATGGTTTTGAAATTACTAATTATGAAAAGAGCAAGCTTTGGAAAGAGGACAAAACTGAAGGGAAGATGCTTAGGGGTGGTTGGCTATCATTTGGAGGCTGGCAATGGCAGGCTAAGTTGCCCTCTTCCCTTCCCATGGCCAAAAGCCGGCTTCTACTTCCACGTTCTTTGACAGCCTGCCACCGGGAGGAGGATGCCCAAGACCGACTCTTGTAATCTCTCTAGAAGGTTTAACTCCCCAAAGAGCCTTTCAGAAAAAGAGCATTGAAATTGCGAACGGCCCTGGTGACATTAAAACACACCCTTATGATCTAGAATGGAAGCTCGGTTATTTCCTGAATTTCACACCAGGCAGTTCCAAATGTGTGCACAATAACTAAAGACAAAAAAGCAATTCACCATGGATCTCCAAAGACAAGCAAGTTTAGGAAAACAGACCTTCTGGACAAGAGGGTTCACCGGGTTTAGTTTTGACTTGAATGGGAACAAAACAAACGAGCCAGGATTCTTGAACAACAACGTCCATTCATGGCACAACGCTTGGCGACACGGATCATGCTCAGCATTCAGAAACAAACAGAGAGACATACGAGTTAATCAGTGCCAGAGAAATCTAAAAATACAAAGAGGCTAGCCAACCGGATAGTCTGAGACAATATTCTTGACGTGTTTCAAAACCCTACGGGTAGCCACTGGTTGAAGAGTCTAGAAATGCTATCCTTGAATATTCAAGCGGTTCCAGAAATGCTAACAAACTGGACACGCGTACACACAGGGGAGGGGAAGCCACCCGAGAGAAGCAGCCGCCTCTTCTCCTCTAAAAGGATGTGGATGTTTCAACGGATGCACTGCAAATCCCGGAAGACGAGCGTCCACACAGACAAGGCAACCTGGAGTTCAGACCTGTGACTACAAAGGACAGCAAGTGGGGCCACCCGGCCTAGACATGGATGACAAATTCTGGGTTAGTGTAGGAGAATCCGGCAAACTCATTTTGGTCCAAGTTCATGATGAAGAGTTTGTCTGTAGGCGTCAGTTCCACCGGCTGCCTCGTGAATTCTTTATCAAAGTTGGAAGTGTCCAGTCTATCTTTCTGTTGGATGAAAAGCAAAACAATTAAGAAACACAAAGCAAGGAATCATGATATTATTCCAGCAAGGCCACACGGGGGTCACAGTGTCTGGATTCCAACAAACGGGAAAACCATAGAAGATGCCAGGGCCAGCAATTCAGACCCGCACGCCGTGCGCGGTGCAAGCAGGGGACGTTTTTCTCTCCATTTGTTCAGCAGCAGCTGCCACCAAACCATTCAAAGGCCTTGTAAAGGCTCCAGAGCGTTCAGCGCTCCAAGCTGGGCCCCTTGGAGGCAAAGATAAAACTCTTGGCAAAGAGCATCCCCTTAAACTGGGCACGTGACATGCAAGAGAGTGACGTACTCGTGCCAGAAAAGGGCTCTGCTGGAGAATATAATAAAAACCATGAAAAGCTTGTTTCCGTCCTGTCTCCTATCGGCTGCTCTTGCCATCCCATATCCTGAGAGCCTAGCAGGATTCTGCCCCTCTAGCAGAGTCAGGGGCTTTCGCAAACCAGAAGTCACCCCCCCCTCTCTCTGTCTCTCTGTTGTGGTAACAGACATCACGCCCACCCCCTTCCTACTCCATTTATTTCCATCACACAAAAGTTTTGTTGCATTTCCTGCCCCACGGAGGGTGAAGCCACCTCCAGGAAGGTCCAAATGAAGGAAACGCGACCGAGGGTATGAGTCCCCGATATGCTGTCATTCTGCCACCAGGAAAGCGGCTTGCCTTTCAAAGCGGCTTCGGGCAGAGTCGCACTGCTCTCGCCAGCAGGCTTTTAGGTAGCTCCCTTCCTTTCTACAGAGCCAGCCCCGAAGGGCGTCCTGGCCCACAGGGCCCTGCTGCCTGTTACATGTCTGGGCAGGCAGGGCAGTCCTAACGGCAGGTTGAAGTCAAGTCCGGAACCTCTCACTGCTACAGACTACAAACTACAGGCTCCCCCCAAATCCCCCCCCCCAGGCGCCATGAGCTCACATCCTAAGAAAGCCAGTCAGTCGATCCCAGAGATAACACTCATGAGGATTCCCCCTCCCCCACTTAAAAAAAAGCACCCCAAAACCAAAACAGCAATTGCAAGTTCCACAAGCAATATCGATGCCAGAAACCGAAAGAGGTGGGAACCCAGAGCGACCGATTATTGTCTGAAACCTGCTAGCTTCAGGCTTTAACTCATTTGCTTCCGATGCTACAGAAATGCTGGCCCATTTTGTTTTTGCCTGGGAACGTTTAATCTAATGCAAATTTAAGATGCCTTCTTTGGAAGAATCACTGCTGAGGAATCACATGCTGCTTCTTGCAATTGGTTAAGCTGCCAGGGGTTAAGTTGACCACCTCCAATATGGCATCAGGTGCCACGTTCTGCTCTGGTGAAGTGGGGCTCCACCCTAGAGCATTCTGAGTAAATTGCTTTGCCCTCGACATATTCAGCCCAGCCCAGACAACTCTGCGATACTCACCTTGCCCTGTCTAAGGATTGCTCTGGTGTGGCCTTGTCTTCCCCATTGGCTTCTCCTTTGGCCATCCTTGTCCGCCCTTCCTTTGCTGTCTTCCTCCTTTTACGCTGTTTAGCCGGGACATTTCACACCGTTTTATTTCTTGATTTTTGCCACGACCTCCTTTCGCAAAACCAGACGAGCCTCCAGAGCTAGTCAAGAAGACGAAAGGGGAAGGGGTAGGACAGGCCAAGGTCAGGGAGAGCGGAAAACAGTGAAGGGCACGTGCAGTTTTTGAGGAGACCCTGGGAAGCCCTTTGCTGCAAAGGTCAACGTTCACCGGAGAGCAGAGCTGCCTTGCCACGTGTACAGAAAAGAAAAAGGATGTTATTCCCACGCTCTCCTGCATGTTCAGCTGACTACCAGTTCTCACACGCATGAGAATGGTGAGGAGGGCAGGCCTTAAAGCTTTCCTGCTTAGGATTTCTCCAAAACTCAGCTTGAAAGTAGCCATGGGGGGGAAGCAAGCTCCAGCTTCCTCGGACTCACCAGCACAGCTTCCCAAGGTCACCGGGCAGCCGGAGGAGGCGCACCTGCTCGGACCGACACCTTCCAGTGGTGGAGCCGAACCTTCTGGTAACGTCCACAGAGTCAGTCCCAACATCCAGAGTGGTCCCAACAGAACAAGAGGTGGCTTAAATTATGGAGACCTTCACCCTGATCCAAGGGCGAGAGCTCCGTGCTGCCGGTGGAGCCTCTGCTTCTCTCTCCTGGTGGGCACCGGATCAGAGCTAAAACTGGATCCCTTCGATGGAAAACGAGCTGACAGCTCGGCTGCCCCCAGGCAGGAGGGACCGTGCTCTTCCACACAGCATGGTGTTGCTCATCACGCACAGAATGGGCACAAACTCTTGTGATGGAGTTGGGTGCCCTAGCTTGGATCAGAGTCATCAGGGGTGGCCGATTCACCTAGCTATCAAATAGATGTACTTTTGTGACCATCCTTCTTCTTCCATCTGACTGCCATTGAAATTGCCAAAATTTTGGGCAGCTCCCTCATTTTCTGGCTAAGTTTAAGCAAACATGGCAGGATGGCAGCGGTCTATTGGGAGTGCACCCCACCGTTGGCAGTCATCTTATACTGCAGAGGTGTAGCTAAATTAAAGAAACCATAGGATGCATCTTCTGCATACCTGTTTAGCAGTAAATCCCCCTGATCTCCACAGGACCTAGTTTTAGGCAAGTGTGCAAATGATTACCACTTAGTTCGTTATCAATTATCAAGATCCGCCAACGATCAATTAATTAAAGCTATGCTTTTATTATTCGCTTATTTATTCAACATGCTGCCTTCTTCCCTTGCAAGACCAAAGGCAGCTCATAAAATAAATGAAAAATTGGTACAGCAAAAACCACCATAAATCATAATATTAAAACATGATTGAATAAGTTACTCTATTAAAACAGGCACCAAAACAAAACAATGAATTAATTTAAAAGCCATTTGAAAGCATGACAAGAAAAAAACAAACCCTCAATTTTTTTAAACACATGAGGAAAAAAGTGAGTACTTTGTAATTCTGGAAGAGAGAAACAGGCGTTGCCTTTGGACCAATGCATGCACTGGAGGAAGCACCACGTTGCAAGCTATATTCCCCTTGGTGGGGGCCGGGTATGAACCTTACAGCTCTTGGGGAATGTTTGGGTGCTCGTCCTTGCATAAAGATACCATGAAATATTTGTAATGTGCTGGTTGATTTCCTGCTCTGCCTCCCAAGCTAGGATGTGCTCGGCATGTGTGCGAACACGTCAGAGCCGAGCGAGTGAGACCTGGCGCCTGTCGGGGCCAGAGGAGCAACCAGGGAATAAACCAGCGCGGGCGCGTGGGCAGGGCAAGCAACATCTCCTCCGCTTGGCATGGCTTGCTCTGAGATCTGAAAACCAGGGAGGCATCGCAACCTGCGAGATTTCCGTCGCTTTGACTCCCAGCAGCCCCCTCCACCCCCAACTCGCTTTCCCCTCAAAACCGCCTGCTCCCTGTTCCCAAAGTGGGGGCTGCTTGTGACTCACAGGATGGCCACATTTTCTTTGTCCTGGGGGGGCTGGGGCTGGGGGTGGTTTCATTCTGCATCCAAACCCTCCCACCAGGAAAAATGGCTGGGGGCTTTGGATGGGTGGCCGGCCGGGAAGAGCTGTTCCGTTTGCTGAGGATGAGAGACGAGAGAGAGAGACAGAAGACCTCCGGCCGCTCAGAGCGAGAGACAAACTCCTGAGCATCTGAGCCACAGAGGACAACATCCCAGGGACCTTCCTCCTCCCGAGGAGGAGTCCACCACCCAGAGTTTTCTCAGCTTTCCTCCAGAGACGTAGCCGGTGATGCTCAGTCCTTTCGCTGCAGCTGAAGCCAAGCTCCCCCCACGTGGAGGCAGGGAAGGGAGCAGACAGCGCACCCATCCGGGTCCATATCCAAAAGCCATCCCTGTCCAGGTGGCCTCCAGATTCCTACTCCTGGGGTCCAGGTGTCCAAGACCAGCTTTGCCAGGTAGGTCCCACACACTGTTGGGATTTTCCCACCTGGGGTCAGTCCAGCTGGGTTGCTTTTTCGGAGGAGAGCTTGGCGAGGCCCGAGCCTCTGCAGGCCTGCGCCTTCGAGTTCCTGCTTAGGACCCAGGTTCAGTGCGAACACTTAGGGCTGCCCTGTTAAGTCCAGATCCTGGAATTTCTAGTTATCGTGCACAGAGAGGGACTGGAAATTCTCACCAACTCTTTTAAACTCAGCAACTTTTCTAAATTTGGATTCCCCCCCAAAAAACTTTTGCTTGTGAAATCTGATGTCAAGACATGTATCTACAAAAACATCTCAAGGTTTCATTGAAAGTACTTTTATCAAAGTTGTTACATGGTTATCACACGTCATGTTTACTAGTTTAGACCTTGCTAAACAGAAATAATAAATTTAACAAAATGCACAACCAGAATAGTATTTTCCTTCTTCAAACTACATGCCAGCAACCCGACCATGGGATCTTTGCCGCTGAATTATTTCTCCTGTGGCAAGAATTCTGAAGCCCTATTAACTCAGCTGTTTCTTAGTCCTGCTTGCAAACAACACGAGGTTTATCCTCAAAACAAGATTTCTTGAATGTATTATTATTATTTTATTTTATAACTGTATCTGAGGGGTGGGGGAACGGTTGGCACATGAACAGTTCAAAGCATATGGGTAGGCAGTGGACGTCCCGCAGGCAGGAAGGGGGGAAAAGTATAAATGGAAGAGGTGAATGAGCAGCAGCACTGGAATCTTAAAAGAAGCCACGTTTTCTCTCCTTTTAAGTTGCTAGAAACACAAGCAACTGAAAATTCCAGCTGCAATGATTTGTTGTGTTCAGAAGATTATTCGCTGAGACAAAAAAAACCCAAACAAACCCCTTTACAACTTCAGTCAAGATACACAAATACAGTCTGAATTTTTAAACATCAGCTTCAGTTTAGTAAAATACTCAATTTTTTTTGACACACATAAAGCTGAATTTAACACTTTTTAAAAAAATACTTGGCAACCAGATGAATGGAATCCCCCCACA